TGGCCTGTTCCAGCTCTGACAGTGAACTCTGCAAGACTTGTTTCATGTCACTTTTCAGGTGATGAGTCTGTGTCAGGCCTGTGTCTCTGAGCTGGGACTCTGTCTGTCTCTCTGGCACTTTTCTAATCACCCGCCTTGTCAAAAACAGTTGTATTAAGGCTCGTTCTCTGCTGTTGTGTACATGTACGTGTGTACATGTGTGTACATGTACACACATGTACGTGTGTACTTGTGTGGACATGTGTGTGTGTGTTCATGTGGTTGCATGCGTGTACATGTGTGTACATGTACATGTATGTGTTTGGCTTCTGTCTACTTATCTCACACTACTGACGTCATCATTGATCATCCACAAATAAATAAATAATATATATATTATATATAATAAATTGTTTATCTCTATAGAACACTAATGCAGCTACTGAGACATTTGTCATTCAGCCAACTTCAGCTCTGTCAAATATGAATCCATGCGGTCATGTTATACCTCATTTTAAAAACATCACAAAGCCACTTTCTCCATCCACGCTGTGGCCCCTGGACCGGTGTAGTTTCTGCAGTTTCCCTGTGATACCCCGTGATCAGACATATGCCAGTATCATATATACACATATACTTCTGTAGTATCGAGTGTCTCCATTAGGAAGCGGCCGCTCTGTTCTGTGATGTTGAAAAATGTTGGTCCTATTCAAAGTGCTTTTGTGCCAACACTCTTTTGATGCAGAGCTTTGTAATCTCTCTCCGAGTGAATCATCAGCCTTGCTCCTTTTTAAACCTGATGTCCACAGCCGCCATGGCCGAGATCTCATCCAAAGAGAACTCCAAATGGGATTTTTCATGGATAATAAACATGTTATTGAACACATGCAAGGAAAACATATATTCATTTATTTGAACACCATGCTGGAAAAAAGTGCTTGAAATAACAACAAAAAATATATATGACTTGATTTCTGAAAATAAGAAAATAATACTAGCCCCAAATGACTTTAAAAACATACATTTCAAGTGTTATTTACTTATTTCTCAAACATTTTTGAGACATGTTTTCTTTAAGTACAGCACAACAAACGTATTATATCTAAATGGAAATAAGAAAATAGACTTAAAGGAGCAGTATGTAAAAATCTGGCCAAAAGTGGCACTGCAGCCTCTCCCACTCTCCCTGACTCAGGTTGCCAGATATGCAGTCGAATTCAGCTGAGACCATAATAATAATAATAATAATAACTGAATAGACAATAGAGTTGTATCGATAACAAATCTATAACCAACACTTTTCACAAAGGCCTCGATAGAAATCCTAGTTTTATTCCTTGTTTTGTCGTTAATGATTTGAGAATCAAAACGAGACCTTTTTTTGTTCTGCGCCACATGGTACTTTACCAGTGAAATTAGCTCGACGAGGTGAATTCTGGCAACCCGGATCACAGACTTTCTGATTGGTGAAACGGTGTAGGGGGCGAGACATCAAAATGAAAACAATAACAACATTTAGGGGCTGTAAAATACATTTTTTTAATTCAAATATCTCTGAACTATTGTTATCAGTTAAAGAAGTATTGGAAAAGAGCATGTTTTATTAATGCCTTTGGACAGATTAGGGCCCTTTAATGATGACTTGACATGAAGATTTTACATATTCCTACTTTAAAACAAGCATTAGGAAGGATTATTATCTTAAAACTAGTTAAAGAATCTCACATGACAAACTAAATTCAAGCAAAAAAAAACAACTTGAATAGAATAACAGTAGGACGACACACCATCGACACAGGAGCTCCAAAAGATTCTGGTTTAAGTGTTTAGTAGCACATTTGCTCTATTTTGTGTGAAAGAAGTTAATTTGACAGATGATGTGGCGGCTGCTTTTTTAGATCCTTTCTAAAATTAGCTTTGCACTCTGCGGCTCGTCGTAACAAGGCGCATGTAAAGGATGAGCAGGATCACACCTTCAGATCCGCGACGGTTCATTTTCACTTTTCACTGAGCGACACCTCTGCAGGGGAAGCATGGCTGAAACCTCCACCTTGACACACGGCGTTCTCCTGCTGCGTCTAGATTAGATGTGTCTAAGTATTGATCGCTGATAAATATCTTGATTCTTTTGTCGTAGCTCCGCAGATCTCGTTACAACTCTGACCGCCAACACTTGTCTCCGGAAACTCAACACGCCGAGTGAACTGCTACTGCTTTGTTTCAATTGTCACTTTCACCTGAAACTATTCAATTTATTGTGATTCAAGTTATTTTTGTGTATTCGCAAACACAGATCAGAGAATCAAACGGTTCGAATACATACATAACAAACACAAGGAGTCATTGGTCCATACGGGGCAGAGACCAATGTCTGTAAAAGATTATGGTAAATAGAAGGATTTTCTACTATCATCAAGATAATTGGTCCTCCCAACTGTCAATCATATCATTCGGGTGGTAGGTGTTCCTCCAATAAGACCAGAGAATTTTGTTTGAGAAGTGGAGAGACCGGTTCTTCAATAAAATTTGGGGAAATCCAATATTCTTGGGTTTCATTAAACTGGCCTGTAGGGGGTGAATGAGCAGAGGTGGGACAACTCAGTTTTGCTCCCATTGAAAACCATGTAAAGTGTGTTTTGGAGTCAAAAGGTTCTCCTCCTGTGCGGTGTACGGTTGTTGTAATAGTCTTCATCGGGGATACTCAATTTTAAGGGAGTACTACGAAATATTTCTCAAAAGAGTCTTGACTTGGAGCATTTTTGGAAAGAAAAACAGAAGAAATTGCTGCGTTTCATTGGGGTGGCCTGCAGGGGGCGCTTATCTGGGAAAGCCTTGGTCCACCTCGCCCGCCTCATTCCAGTGATTTTTTCAAAGTGTCCTCCTTTATATGAGACCACAGTTGGAACACGGAAGAAACTCTTGTCCTTCTCTCTATTTGTGCGGTTGCTACAAGCGTACACCGCACAAAAAGATGGCATTTTGACAGCGCTTCTTCTTCTACTATATCTCCGTGTATAGACCCGACAGACTGCACCGCCAGGGTACATCACGTCCTGTACCACGTTTGTTATTCGCGCTACTGCCCTGACGTCATATGAAACCCAAGAATACCTTTAAAAATGTCCATAAATGTCCTTAAATGTCCTGAATCAGCAACAATGTCCTTCCTGCCTCGACAATCCTCCTGTACACCTTTAATGTATGTACAGATGAAACTTAGAATATTGGAACATCGTTCAAAAGTCCATTTACTTCTGTAACGTTTGTGAAACCAGTAAATGACATGTAAAAAGTTAATTTAGTCGTCTCATGTTTATATGACATTACATTATTACGACTCGTTACAAACGCACTGAGACGTATCAAGCCTTTTTTTGATTGAACCTTACAAATTTAGGATAACCTTACACAACCTTAGAGGCAGCGTTTCAGGTGTATGTACAGTATTCCTAATGATCCCAAGCATTGTTTTAGGTCTATGCTGAAAACCGCTCTTTTTAGCTGTGCGTATGACTGGGTTTTATATATTGAGTTTTTATACAGTTTTAATTCTGAAATCCAGTCTCAAATGATTCTTTCTTTATTATTGCTTTACCTCATGTTTTAAAATGTTTGTAAATGTATGATTTCATGGCTGTGCAACCTTGATCATCGGCTCTCAGCTGTTAAAAACCCCAAATAAATCATTCAGAAAACATTTAGAAAGTGGACCGTGTTCCTCAACAGTGCGTCCAACAAAGGCATATGTCACTTTGCAGGTAATGAGTTTCTGTGTTTGGAACTCTAAACGCTTTGTTCCGTTTTTGGCTGATGAGTTTATAGTCTCCTCACTTTCACTTCTTATCCAAACTGCCCGAGCTGCTGCGGTGCCTCAACCCCCAAGACATTCAGCAAAGATGTAATCCAAGTATTCCAACACCAACAAGCCCTCCTCCATTATTCATCTGGCCCTTTAATGAGTTTTCCATTCACCTGCACACTGCCGTACAAGCCACTGATACATCTGTTAACATTGATTGAGTTTATCAGGGATGGGTGTCTAGTTTGGCTCCAGGTTTTACTGAGGGATGTGGAACGATATTGAGTCAGGACCAATTTGTGTTTTCCTGTATGAAGGGAACCAGACAAAGGGCAGAAGATGGACTATAACAGACTTAAGTCATGTGTAGAATAGTATATGGTCATGTTTGTATGTCACAAAAGAGAATGTGGTGATTGTATTAGAATGGTGTGTTTCTGATTAAATATATGTGTTTGCTTCTCTTCAGTTTTGCACAAGTCATGTTGCTAACGTGGTGCATGACGCAGATAAACCATCCGGAAATCAATTTGGTAATGAAGTCTTTTCTGTGACTGTCACAGTCACTTTTACATGGCAGAGATCTAGGCTTTCACCGGCGTGCAAAGCCAAAAGATCCTGTGTCACTTGCATTGAAGATGTTTGTTTACATGCCATGATCATGAAAAGGAGGCCAGCTGAATAATGTATGACTTCTTCAAGTTTCCTTCACCCTGTGACCCAACACTTGAGTTGGACCTTACCACATTCAGTCAACGTTAAGCACCTCTACCACTTCTGGCTCACATCAACATTGTTGCTGCCAAATGCACATGTTCATAACATGTGTAATAACATGTGCAATAACATGTGCAATAACATATTCATAACATGTGCAATAACATGTGCAATAACATGTTCATAACATGTGTAATAACATGTGCAATAACATGTGCAATAACATGTGCAATAACATGTGCAATAACATGTTCATAACATGTGTAATAACATGTGCAATAACATGTGCAATAACATATTCATAACATGTACAATAACATGTGCAATAACATACAACCAAGACTGCTACATGTACCCCACATTTACATGTGACTGTGAACATGATAAATAATGTGTATTTGACGGTGGGTCCCAAAGCGCTGTCCGTCTTATGATTGAAGCGTTCCAACCTGACGTCGTGTCTCTGTGAGTCTGTCTCTAACTCAGTCCCTGACCCGTCCTTCAGATGCTGCGGTGCTGCTCCCAGTGGACACAGAGCACTGCCACTCGTCAGACGTTTGGACAGAGTCCCTCCATCCACTCACTCACTCCAGGTGTTTTAGAATCATTTATAACATTTTAAATACATTCAGAAAACGATTAACTGTGAATTCCTTCCCTCGATGTAGATGTGAGGGAGGAACACTGCGATTCAACTGCAAATATGAAGCATGATAGACTCTTTACAAAGTGACATACGCCATTTCTATGATTCCGGCTTTCAGTCCATTCTCAAAATGTTTTTGCAGCTCTGAGTCAATCATCGACATTATAACACATAAAGGTATATCTCACTTTCACTTTAATAAGTGTCATATATTAGCTTCACACTGAAGTTGAACTGTAGTAATGAACTTTTGAACAATATTCTCATTTTCTGAGTTTCACTTGTTTATAAACACATTCTGATTGTATTTAGCAGTGGACATACTGGCGACTAACTATGTGAGAACCCCTCAGTGCCCCCCCAGTGCCCTCTCAGTGCCCTCACAGTGCCCCCTCAGTACCCCCTCAGTGCCCCCTCAGTGCCCTCTCAGTACTCCCTCAGTGCCCTCTCAGTACCCCCCCAGTGCCCCCTCAGTGCCCCCCCAGTGCCTTCACAGTGCCCCCTCAGTGCCCCTCAGTACCCCCTCAGTGCCCTCTCAGTACCCCCTCAGTGCCCCCTCAGTGCCCCCTCAGTACCCCCTCAAAGTACCAGTGCCCCCTCAAAGTTCATGATCACCTCTTTTACCCTCGCTCCAATGTAACACAGACAGACTTTGTGCTTGTGTCATGATTTTATCGTCGTCTTTGATCAAACAATGAAGAACTGTAAAATAAATACAGCATGTTCATTTTATTGAGTTACATTTCCGTCTGCACTGAGGGTTAAAGTATATTTTACATTTATAGAGGTTCGTGAGGGTAGTGCTTCAGAAAACCTGGTGAAAGTTGTTTGTTATTTGGTCAACTCGCCATGTTGTGACACATGGTTAAAGGGGAAATAAGCTTGTTTTTTATTTAATAATGGCTGAACATTTGACCAGTGTTGCAGAAGCAGATTAGATATTCATATATTTATAATCACATATATCTTTAGTGTGGCTAACGACGTAAATTGTGTAGATGTCCGTCTCTCAGTTCTGGCTCCATTGCCTTGTTCTGTTTCTTGCACCATAATCCCCACAGGGTCTGTGAAGGCCCTAAATAATGCACATGGAGTGAAGGCCTTATAGGCGCTGTATGATGGATCACGGGGCTCTTTTTGGCGCTGCGCATTCTTGGTGCTCTTGAAGATTATTTATCATGTTCATAATGACACTGCTCTCAGGTGAACCTCCACATGTCTATATTTGTATCAGACAGAACCATTTCTCCCTTCACTCCCAGTGCTGACGTCACGGCTCAAGTAGGTCACATGCCTTGGTCTGGGATTTATACACAGACCACATCGTTCACCTTATCTATTTTTTCTCGTTCATAAAATACACCAGCTTTTTTGTTTTTGTAGAGATGTTGGGCAATAAACATCGCTTTGTTTAGGTAAAATATGTAAATGAAATCTAAAATTAAAATAGAACAGGCGGGGGCCGCACCGAGGTTGTATGGAATGTTAAGTCCTAAATGGAGAGAATAATACTCTCAATATACAGAACATTTAGTTTAATTCTTCTAATCTCAACATAGAGAGATATTTATTATTTAAGTCTGAAAAGCTGATGTGGTAGAGGCCAAAAAAATGCATGCACGTGATATCCAGGGATAGAACCAAACGGTTTTGAGAGAAAGGAACAACTTTCTGAAAGTTACCCCAGTTTTAAACTTCTATCCTGAGCTTCATTGGAGCAATCTAACAGATCACTGGCGCCACCTGCAGGAAGCTGATCTGAAGAGCACAGATACATGACAGACTAGTGGGAACCAGACTGTTTTCAGAGATACTGACTGGATACATTGTAACATTATGTCATGTTTGTGTTTTAAAATGAGTTTACTCTTATAGAGTGGACTGGATACTGATATACCTCAATGTCTTGGTCTCATAACAGGCTCTACCTGCTGAGGAGGGCAGGTCTGTTTGAGTGTGGGGACAACTCCTGAGGCCAGCAATATCACAAGGAGAGAATCTGTGATGCAGTTCGGGGACAGGAGGCCCATGGAGAAGCTAACATATAAGCTAACATACTGAACCTGTCTGTTCTGGAGCAGCTTCACTGACATCATCCTTCAGTGTCAAATCTACCCACCCAACATTCATTCAGCTGTGAAGAGATACTAAACACAGAGGTCCATTGTATACTTTGGTGTAGAAGACAAAACAAAGTCACATACATATAATTGACAAAGATCACGGTAATATACACAAGTCAATCATTGATCATTAAACCCAAGAGTTCAGTTTGTCATTACACTCCTGTGGAAACCCAAACTGCTGGTAATGGCACACGCTCGGGCATCAAGTCTCATCATGAGATTGTAAGTAAACTGGCTTGGCCTGCTTTCTGAGGCGCTGTTGAGCACGCAGCATTCTGCCCTTCTGGGTTGCCAGTCCTAATGGAGGCAGATATGTCTGGGGAAGAAGAAAATACAATCAATTCCCTTCATATGCTTTCATAAATGCTGCACATTCATGAAGGCACCTACAGCTCTTGGATATGGGTTTCTATAGTGAAGACCTTAGTGAGGAAAGAAAAAAACTGTGGTTAATTTGTCCAGGAAATAATTTACAAAATTTCGTCAGTCTTTGCCTTACCAATTTCTATTCGCGCTTCACATTCATCTATGCATCTTTTTATCATGTCAGGGTTTGACAGCTGATTAAATAGTAAAGTCCAGATTAGTTTCTTAACAAAACAAAACCTTTTTGACAAAATAATAATAATAATAACTCACCTGTTGGTTTTGTCTAAACAACATGCGAGCTTCTTGAATAATGTACTTTTTCTCTGTGTCTGTGTCCATTGCAACACCACTTTGTGCCTGCCAAGCTCTGGCAATGCGAAATATGCGTTTATAAAGAGACAACACAGACTTTTGGGCAGAGGACGTCATGGGATGTTTATCTGAGAAGATAAAGAGAGATTTAATTCATATCCACAAATTATTACTAGCAGTATTTTATGAAGCATTTTGCAGATCAGCGAAGAAAGACACAACATTGGGCTTCAGACTACATTTCTCAGGAGACTATGTTTCAGGGACACAGATGAGGATTTCAGTGTTGTTTGCACATGTTCTAGTGATGAACGTGTACAAAAACGACAAAAGCAAACAGCTTGGATGGACTAGTCTGAAGTGAACACTAGTTGTATTCAACTAAAATCTTTAGTGAACAATATAAATCTATCTTGAGTTACTTCGATTGACACAGCCAGTAGTATTACATTACTATTTGTGTCTGATCACTGAAACGCTTAAAAGATACAGAACCAATACAGCTAATTACCCACTGGCATTAAGAATACAGTCCCTTCCTTCAGAAATGCTGGTGTGTATTGTGACCCTGAAGATAAACAAACACCCTATCACACATTCCACAGATTCAGAAATACAAGTGAAGTGGCTCTTTTCCACCTCCATTCAAAGTGCTTTATATCAAGGAACCACTGACATACTCCCTATTTCCCACACACGATAATACAATGGAGACAAGACAAAGGACAAAGCGACAGTTGTATGATCATAGTACCCCTGTTCTTTGGTGTTTTAATTGCCTGTCCACCCAGCCAAGCCCTAGACTGTAAATATAATATCATAGTCCTACTGTTTTTCACAAGGCACAGTGCTAGCCTTTCAGAAAGGTTCAACTCCTGGAAGGCACAGTTCCTTCTTCCAACATAGAAAGTCTGAAGTTATTCCAAAGGATTTATCAAAATGTAAAATGCGTTTTACTCATTTAAATTCTTAAGTAAACGTGTCTGTGTGTTTTACTGAAAATTAATTTTATATGAATGTCCTCAACGTGGTTGCATCAAACAAGGGCTAGTTTACCAGGTCCATAGATAATATTTACAGTCTATGATCTGCCCATAGAGATAATAATGTCTATCTATTTTGTTAAATAACACTATTCCCTGTGTCGCATGTCTATGACGTTTCTCTTTAGAAAGGTCGAAAACTACAAACACAAACCGTAACAGATCCATGAGTGAACCCAGACTTTACACTCCGAGTACAAACACATGCGTCCAGCTGTTGTAAACATAAAGATAACTGTGAAGGAATGTCGTTCATTGATGAGATTTAATTTATCAGAATATGATCTAATATGTTGTAGCTAGCGTTAATGCTAACCACTTACTAACAACAGCTATATTATTATAATGTATACTATTATAATTACTAATCTGTATAGTCATAATCACAAAAATAGTACAGCTCAAGATGAATCCCACCGAAATGTCGATCAGCTGCTGTGTGCTCGGAGGAGAGAGGAAGTGATGCAGGAAAGTGCCCAAAATGTAGCTTCAGTCAAAGACTGAAAGAGGAAGCACAAAGAGCAGCTTTACTGAAACTCATGCTTTTAACCCAGATTCATGCGCGAAGAGAATATAGTATATCTGTCCATTCACTCGGCGACTGCGAGGGGCTGGCGTGGTTTCTCATCAGAATGCTGAGAATCTGAGGAATAAGGAAGTTTCCGGAGCTAATGGTGGTTAACAATCCGAGTTCAACCAAACCCGAGACTTTTCACTTCTCTGTCCGCTTCATCCTGATGAAGTTACTGCTCTCTGAGGGCCTGGTGTCTGGGAGGGATGTGCTTCGTACCTGGCAAAGCAGGACTCGCAGAACAGGTATAAAGTACAGCTGTATCATGAATGTGTGTTTGTTCTTAGGAGCTAGCTTAGCCCTGGCTAACTTTGGCTAAAGCTAACCCTGCGTTAGCCGTGTCGACATCAGAGACAAACGATCTTTATCTGTTTTGGGAAATATTATTATAATAATAATTATACTTTTTAGCGACAATACCGAGCTCCTGCAGTTGGACTTATTGAACACATCTGTAGGACGGTAATATTAGTTACAAAAGTCCACCAGATGTTTTTGTCCTGGTTTAGCCTCATAAGAATACATTGGATTCACGAATCTAGTCCATTCGTTTATAAAGTGAAAGTTTCTTGTAAATATGCGTGTTTTACAGATTTGGATCGTAAGCGAATTGTATAATTTGCAATTCTAATTTTGTTAATGTTGATATTATTAATTTTTAAACACATTGAAATTAATAAGTAAAGCTGCATCTTCAATCAAAAAAATGTGTTACAAATAATGATAATGTAATAAACATGTGTTGACATTGATCATGTGAAATGTTTAAAAACAGCAGCTATTCACAGGGTATCAGGTGAAAGGTGTCGTTTTCTGCTTATGACGTTAATATGATGTTCTTTGCAGCGTAAAGGCCGCACTAATGGAAAAGAATAAAGCTTTGGTCTGAGGTGCTCCCAGTAAGTAATGAACCCATTATTCAGACTATTGCTGCTGTTTTACTCAGTGCCATTCTCTGCTTGTTTTGTTTTTATATGATATAATAAATCTCTATTCTTTAAATCAGGATTGAGGGCATGTTGAGACGTCTCGCCAGGCCAGAGCTGAGGCGTTTAGGTGGCTTGGGTGGGGACTGAAGGTGTGGAGGAACTACAGCAAAGGGACCAGGCAGAAAGACATGGGCCAGTGTGTCACCAAGTGTAAGAATCCAACATCTTCACTCGGCAGCAAGAGTGGAGACAAGGAAGGTGGTTCCAAATCCCACAAAAAAGGTGGCTGTGCCATAGGTTTTGGAAGCCACAAAGAAGAGTCCATTGCTCCAAGTGGCAAAGGCAACAACGAGTTATCAAATGGAACCAAGGCTTTGGAGGTGACAGTGGAGACGCCTGTCATCCCGTCAGTGATGGGGGAAGCACGAAAAGAGGAGCCCCTTGAAGGTGGGCTCTCAATGAGACGTATTGACAAGCTGTTTTCCTGCTACAAGGATGACCAGGAAGATGCTATTCTGGAAGAGGGTATGGAAAGATTCTGCAATGACTTGTGCGTAGATCCTGCAGAATTTCGAGTGTTGGTTCTGGCGTGGAAGTTTCAAGCAGCCACTATGTGCAAGTTTACACGGTAAGACTATAAATACATTCTTACTCTGAAAGTAGAAATACGTACGCAAAACGTAAAATACTTTTTTGATTTATAAGGTTTTGTCAGTAGTAGAAAATGGCAGGAATGTACATTTTTGTTCTGTCTTAAATGGTTCCTAAGTAACGTTTCAAAGTGCAAAACAAAGAAGTAGAACTGAAATTATTTATTAATAGTTTATTATAAAGTATTTATTTTATAATATTATTATTATTTATCAATTTAAAAATTGTACATACATTTCACATAAAAAACCAACAAATATAATATTCAGTACAATTTTTTACTAAACTTTATTTTTTGCAGAGAGCATAAATTAAAGTGTATTGGAATATTGTGTTTTTTTTGTCACTCCAATCTCCCATTGTTCTGAAACTTTTAACCCTTGTGCTACCCTTGGGTCAAAATGACCCAACACAGTGATTTAAAAGTAGAAGAAAAAAAGGTCCTAAATGACCCAGAGCTGGTCAAGTTAGGAAAAATCATCAAAATTAATCTAAAAAAAAGAAAACCTTTTTTAGGATATTTTTTGATCAGGATTGGACCAGGGTCTGCTTGTGTGACGTCTCTTCATTATATCAATATTAGAAATGGGAATTTATTTAACAATGCATGTTTTAATTATTTTCCTGAATGTGTTCAGAAAATGCTAAATCCTGATTTATAAATGAAATCAATGAATTGATTGTTTTCTTTTGTCCTTTTTTATTTTTCCAGGAAGGAGTTTGTTGATGGTTGTAAAGCCATCCAGGCTGACAGTCTTGAAGGCATCTGCTCACGCTTCTCCTTCATGCTGCTCGAGGCTCAGGGAGAGGAGAACTTCAAGGACCTGTATAGATTTACTTTTCAGTTTGGATTGGACGCAGAGGAAGGCCAGCGATCTTTGCAGCGGGATATTGCCATTGCTTTGTGGCGTCTGGTTTTTACGCAGGACACACCTGCTATTCTAGAGCGCTGGCTGGACTTCCTGGCTGAGAATCCGTCAGGTATTCGTGGCATTTCCAGAGACACGTGGAACATGTTCCTTAATTTTACACAAGCAATTGGACCGGATCTGACCAACTACAGTGAAGATGAGGCTTGGCCCAGTCTCTTTGACACGTTTGTAGAATGGGAATTGGAACATAGAAAAAAATCAAAGGAACAGGCGTTGATGACAGACGAGGACGAGGAAAGATGCACTGAGACAGAATGCTCTCCCACAACAGACAGACTGGCAACAGAGGGAAGCCGCGGCTCACAGACGTGGGGGGGTCACTAATGGAAATATGGAATGTTGGCTTCTTTGAAAGGGGGAACTAAGAATATGACCCATAAATGAATTATCTGTGAATCATTGGGCTCATCCTAGTATTATCATCTCCACTGTCCTTTCCTCTTTTCTGTAGAGCTGGGATACTTACTTTGCAAAAATGTATTGTTTTTTCAAAGGGCTCTTAAAACATTTGTTTTAAGCACTTCTATTTATTGTTTTTAATTTTGGTCTTCAAGCAAATGAACCATGAGTCAATTTTTAACATCTATTTACCTATCATAACCTAGTTTGGTATCAGAACATGCAACTGACAGACCTCTTCTTTTATCCCACCCAGTTACCGGTCATTTGCATATTATTTTAGTGCACGGAGTAGCTTTGAAGAAAAAAGGGAAATTGAATGATGTCTGCAAAGAATATTTTCTATGGTAAGGTGAAGATCACCTTTTTAATGCCTTTGCTGTGCTCTGAGGATACATTGGATGCACTTGTGTTTTCACAAGTGTTCCTCTTAAAATGCAATCAGTAATGTGTTCTTTGACACTTATTATTGGAACCTACAGTTATTAAAACTATGTATCAACAAATGATTATTAATGAAAGTCTTAAAACACTGAATATCAGCGTTTATGTTTTAACACACCAGCCCTTCAGAGTTTACATGAGTTCTTGAAGTCAACAGCTTTGCTCAAAAAGTAAGCGACAACTTCACCAGAATTCTGGAGGTGCTTCACTGTAAATTTATTTATCCCGATCCCTTTTATATCTGTTGGGAACATAATGTACTCTCCAAACGCTGTTATTTGGAAATGGGGCTTGAAATAAATCTGCACATCTTTCCTATTAAAATGTGTGTACACCTCACAAGTACTGATGGCTGCTGCTAGTTATGGATTGCACAAAAACCTAATGGCATGCTCAGTTGCTATACTTGCAACACTTTGCTGAGAGATTGATATCAACTGCTTTGTTTTTTTTTTCCATTTCAAACTATCCAGATAATAGAATAAAGTATGGCTTAGCATTTTGGGATGAAAGTGTGGATGATCGTTACTTTGACTTACTCTTGTCATGTAGGTTCTGTGTGGAAGATGGTTGGACAATACCTGTCGGGTTCACACCTACCTAAATTACTTCTGAGTTCTGACCCCTTCTCTTTTTCTATAAAATGTATTGATTTATAATAAATAAAACAGTGTTCGAATTGTGCATTCAATTCTTTGTCTTAAGAATTATTAACAGTTTTTCCTGTGCTTTTACATTGTTATAGTATTGGATTTTAATCCAACTAGTCATAAGTAAATTCATATTGTACACTGAATACGTTTGCTTATTGGTTACAAGTACGTGTTCACTTTAGAGACTAAATGAGTTCTCCTTTATTATGCTGAATCTGAACAAGTGTCACTCACCTGCTCTGATAATGATTCACTACTTTACCTGTTATCACTGGATCATAACAAATCCATTCATCTGATGTTTCTGTCTTTCTCTAGTCACTTTACCTGCCGCTATTATTCCTAATGCTTATCCTGGAGTGATCATATTCTCTGCTGCTAAAGTACATTATCTGTAAATACCTCTGAACCAAGTGCCATTATAGCTCCAGAGGTTTATTTTATTATATTTTATCATATATTATCTTGAATAGACCCTGTTTAATGTGTGCAATCTGAGTGCTCTTATTTCCTTTTTTTCTGCTGTAATGTGCGCAGCGATGGCCCTGAAATCTCCCCACTGTGCTACGAATAAAGGAATATATCTTATCTTATGTTATTGTTACTGCACACTTCCGGTGGCCTGCAGATGCTGCTCTCTGATTGGTCCGCTGCCAGCCTGGTTACCAACCAACACTGCACATGAGAGAGGCGAGCGCAGACAGCAGGGACCTGGAGCTGGCCCGTCGCTCAGAGATTATGGAAGAAGGTAGCATCCAGTTCAACGTGTGTCGTCCTTAAACATGACTGAATATGCAATGCCTATCTTATCTAACTACTATGTTGTGTTGCTATTGGCTGAAGTTACTACGAGCTAGCATGAGGCTAACGTGCTGTAGCATGTTTGTTATGGTCATCACCGCGTCTGCTAGCCCCATGGATCTACAATAATAACCCTCAGAACTGTCTTTATCTAATCAACAGTTTTGCTTGTTAATTGTGCCCCATGGTGTTTTATGGTTAGTTGTTCTGAGCAATTGACTACAAACAGTAAAAAACGTTACAACGCCACTCATGACATGTTATTAACGCAGATGTTCTGTCCATGTCTTTTGGGACATGTTTCTTTAGATGAGTTTAATTCACTAAAACACAATGGTCTTCTATTGGAGCTTCAGCTGGATGTGAGAATCTCTAATCATCGCTGTTTGTCACTGTTATTGGTCACTGTCTACTCACTTTCATAGACAGGATGCTTTTGGAAACATCTGTATTTTTATTTACAGTAAGTATTCATTACTGAAGACTTGGGATGAGATTCCATAACGTCTCTCAATGGACAACAAGGTAAGAGCCATTTCATTTGTCATATCTCTAATCTAACATATTTAAAACTGGGTGTTCAATTCCTTCTTTTCAACGTTCTGTAGCTCTTATTCCTGTGACATGGGCAGATGCCCTCATGCCCTAGAGTAGTTGACTGGTCGCAAAACTAAAGACCAAGTAAGGGCTCTGGTCCTATGTTTCTGTTTGTGTTTGCACCTTGCATGAACAAATCTGTCTGTGGAACTGCTACAGTCCTGTCTTTGTCTTGTAATGAACAGTGAGTCGTGCCACCGCTTTTTCTGGATTTTTTTTTATCGTTGACTGTAAACATATCTTTATGACTGAGGGCCCATGTAACAGGTCTGAGGCACTTTGATTAAAATAACAGTTCTTTATAGAGACAAATCCTGTAAATCGCAGCTGTGTCTTATGCACACAGCAATAATCTTGATATTATCTTATTGTGAGAATTCTGTTATGAATCTGTTTTTCAATTCAAGCAGAGGAGCGTTTTTCCCTCATTTAAGGTAAAAACTAGAAAAGTGCATATCTCCCTCATGAGGTACAGCTCCTTTAAAAAAAAAATAATACTGAGTCCAGACAGTGATTTGGAACACCTCCAACATCTAACCTGTTTTCTGATAATGTCGTCCAAATCCTTTTACAACCTTTCAAGTTATTTTGCTCATAAACAAACAGTGGTAACTCTTCCTCCTGGGCGGGAGTCATAATCATTTGTTATCTTCTTATTTTAGGTCAAACAAAACATTTTACGCGCTATCTTTTTGTTGAACTGTCAAAAGCATCATCCCTCAAGATCCACTTTTTCTGCATCTGTTTTATATACAACCTTTTGGACACTTCACATGGCATAATTTAGTCCCTCTGTTCACTGTGGCAAACTGTAGCCACAGCTGCCCTGGGGCTGATTGAGAGTAACAGTGCCCCTAAACTGATCACAAACCATCCTTTACACTCAAACTAGGACTCAACAACTGTCTCAGGCCTCTTCTTACAGCAGTCTCCCATCCCAGTACATCCAGGTCTGCACTTCTTAGCTCATATTTGGCTTGAACAGACTTAGGATATTTCTGTATAACACAATAAGTGCACTCGGAGAGCACATACCCCGCCAACGCAACAGATTGTCGTCCACTCGTCAAATTTCAGTTAAATCCGTCTAAATGCTGCTGTTGTCGGGGAAACATCTCGCCATTAATCTTTCAAGGTCGGGTGGTAGAGTGCATCTGTTTGCTTTTGTTGCATCCCTCAACAACGTGTGACATGTCGTTGGTCCAGTGGCATGAATATTGTGAAGAGGACGTCGTGAAAGCTGCACATGCATGAAACGCTTATGTACAGTATGTGTGTTCAACGTCTGCTCCAAAGAATCAGTGATGTTCTGATCCTGTGTTTATGAAGGAGAGTAAGCTGTGCCAAGGAGGGAGGGTGGCCTCTGCTGTGGATGACACTCTGGATGAATATTTAATTGCCCTTCAGCACAAAAACAGGTGAGGTGTGAAGACAAGCTGTGAAGTGGAGCTTGGATTACACTCAGAGGTGTTCGTTTCCTCTAAACTTCAGAGATGAAATTAGTGCAGATTGTGGTTCTTTCTTATCCAAGGCTCAAAGTGATTATACACGACTCAATCACACCCAAAGTACATCGTGTGCTTTTAATTTTTCAGAATCCTAAAGCGCCTTAAAGTGAAAGATCGAAAGGAAATTGAGTTGGAACGACTAGAGCAAGGATTTTCCATTTATCTGAATGGAGCCAATGCAGAAGTCAACCGGAAAGAGTTGCCAAAGAACTACCCCCACAAGGCCAGCATATCCCCACCTTCCTGGAGGCCCGCGCAGACAGCAGGTAGTAAGGAAAAAGGCCACACTCTCCAAGCTGAAATATCTTATGTAATGACTCTTTATTTTTTAACCATGTGTTACGCAAGAGCCATATTTATCAAGTATTCATTTTAAAGCAGCGCTGTTTTTAGGAGTGTATCCATCCGGCAGTTTACAGTGCATACGTCAGTGATCCGGAGTAAATAAATGATAGTGACAGTTTTAGCTGGCAGCCTGTGCTTTGGTCCATCTGTGAATGTGACTGCACCGCTTGTTGTCCTTTGAGGGAATGCTGTTCTGAATCGCTCATGTTCCTCTCTGTGCTCTGACTCATCTGCAGATGTCTGTAGAAGCGCCCACCAGTTAACCGAGGACAGCCATAACCCGGAACACGCGGCGAAGCAGAGGAGTCACACAGCTCCAGGGAAAGTCCAGCGGAAGCAATGGATGCAGGTCCAGTCATCTCTGGTTTTCTTTTCTGCCTGCAGGAATCATGATTTTAACTTTTCAATTTTATGGATTTCTTTCTCTATGCTGCAGGACTCAGTCAAGATTCGCTCGGAAGCCGGGCCAACCCTGCGTATAACCTCAGAAAATCTCTATTCAGACGATTTTGAGCCATATGAAAGCATGGACATGGAGGTGAGCATGCCCTGTGCCTTTTGAGCATGTCTGGGTGTTCCAAAGGGAGGGGCTGTGTGCCAGATACAGCTGTCTGCACACTTGCATCACCACCAAACCATAATGTTTCCTGCAGAGTCCCAGAATTTGTCCTCGCAGCCCGCGTTCTCCCAGAAATCCCTGCAAACTGTCACGGTCAAGATCTGAGAGTCAAAACAGCCATAGAGAGGAACAGAACGAGAAAGTACTTCTGAACCTTGAGGAAGTGAAGGTAATTGTTTTTGTGTTGAAGTAACTCCATGCTGCATTTACTGCACAAACGCTCATGTTTTGGATTACAGGTTTTGCGCCGTAGCCTCGAGGTCAGCATGCGGCGAAGCAACCGTGGCTCTGACGGCGAGGATTCTGAGGAGGAGTGGGTGGATGAACACATAGAAAGAGATGAGAGTACGGAAAGTCTGGATGAACTGGGGCTTCCTCTGACGTCATCCAAGTCTTCATCAAACTCTCGAGCCAACGAACGCCAAGGCCATTTTGACCCATCCAACCTCGTAGTTCTTGACTTTGGACCGTCAACTAAAGGTGAGTGTACGCGTGAGTGTAATCTATTGGTCTATCGAGATGGGTTCTCTCGTGTCCTCTGCTCAATTGATCAAACTATTGTCCCCTTTAGCATGAACATGAGTGTACTTTGTTTTTAGGTTAGAGAAGAGAAGCCTTATTTGTCCCATTGATAATGTTACTCTGCTGTTTTAGGTCATAAGATTGAACATGCGCTATCAGCAAAAAGGAAAGAGAATGTGGGCAGCTTCATACCAACCAGGCCCATGTTGGTAAAAAGTAAAACAATAGACAGGCCCCCATCAAAGGACTGGGACAGCCAGAGTAAGATTAACATTTCAATTATGTGTCATTAATAATGCACACATGGTATAATATAACATGACAAGTTTGACCCTTTCTTTTATATACTTTCAGAAACAAGATACGGAGTAGAAAGACCCCCGTCTGTGGTAAGAAAGGCTTCCCTGGAGGAACGTGGCCCAGACGACATGGCACGCAGCGTGAGTCAACCCATCCAGAGAGACAACAGCCCAGAGCACACCGAGCTTCTTACGGTCTGTACAGTTTGTCTTTTTCATTTACTTCTGGTTATTTTCTTGTCTAATGTTGTTAAATATTTACAGGGCAAAGGACCTAATCTGATGAATGCTTTTATACAGAGCTCTGCTCATGAAAAGCATGACAACAGTGTTACAATGGCAATGCAGCGAATAACTCTGATGGGGCCGAGGTACGCAGACAAGAGGACTGCGCAATATCAATGTAGCTTCAGCATCGATGAACTTAAGCAGATGTATTTCATCTCATGTCTTACAGACAACAGCAGAAACTTCTCAATGCTCTTGAGCAACTGGACTCTTGCCCGAGTCATTTTTCACAGTGTACCAAACTGGACCACGGCAATCTGTTGGTGAGACTGACTCTGCTGGTCACTGTTCAGACTGTGATAGTGTGCTGTGATTGAAGAGTGTGTTGTCATTGTAGAGGAGACAGTCTTCCTCTGAGGTCACTCCAGCTCTGTATGTCACTATGGAGATTCTTTCCAACTGGGGGAACGCTCTGCAGGTCGGCCTTACTGGGCTTCAGTTTTTCTGCCTTAAGAACAAGAAACTGTATGTTTCACCTCATGACCTGGACATCAGAAACACAGAGTTCCCCGGCAATCTAGAAGCACTCGTCAATGGTCAAATGAAGGTAAATGTTATCCTTATTTAGTTAGTCATGAGTTAACACTGACTTGATGTTTTCCACAGACCATAAAAGACCGCCACATGTGGACTTGTCCCTATCACCCTCCGATCCAGCTCTACTTCATCATTAGGAACACTGAGCGCATCCTGGACTTTGGAATATCTCGCATCAAAATCTGGAACTTCAATCGAAGCCTCAATGTTAGTTTTTTTAGTTTTGTTTTGAATCCAGTAAAAGCATCATAATAACGCTGACAACATTTGCCTTATTTATGTCGACATCCTTTTTGGTTCCACATCATCTCTAGTCTTTAAAGGGTCTTTAAACAGCGGCTCACTGAGCTGCTGTCAGTCTGTCCAAATGTGGAACAGTCAGAGATTAGCCCAGGAGGATTAGTGCTAGCAAACGTGGGCTGTTGCCGCTCCTCCACACTTCACTGCTGTTTGTTGACGTGTTCCAGGACTATCCTTTGACTTCTTTTGGTTAATTAGTTATTATTTAATGTCATAATCAAACAGGAATTTGCAAGGTAAGCTGAAATGACCAAAGCCAGTAGAATCTGCGATACTACAAACCAAATGTATTGAACTGAAGTGTGATTTGCGTCGTAACCTGAGAGGATCTAGCTTTGTTTTATAAGTCATTATATTACTGTAGGGTTAGGGTTACTGTAGGTGAGTGTAATACTGTACTAAAAATTAAACATTTAATGTATGTTTTTCTATTTTTAGGATCTTGACATTGGTGCAAGGCATATAAAGCTTTACCTCAACAGTACACTAGTGTTTGAAGGAGAACTGGATAAGGGCTGTGGTAACCAGGTCTTTGACTACAGTACGACCATCGACCTGCACGATTTCCACACCTCAGATCTGATTTCCAGCCCTGTGTCTTCAGGACACAGTCTTCGAGGCATCAGCCCTCAGCGCAGTAATGAGCCAAGAGCCAGTAGCGACATCATTATTCAGCGACACCAAAGCTACTCTTCATCATCAGCCGGCGTGGGACAGGCCATGAGTGACATGCCAGAGTCACATGCAGCACTCCCACCCATCACTTCCTTTGGAGCCTCTTCTGATGAGCACAGTTCGGTCCTGGAGCAGACAGTCACCACTCAGCCATCATCCTCCAGAGTGGCCCCGCAGTGGCTGCAGCCCTTAAACCGCGGAGCCCTCGAGGAGTGTGAGACCAACAGGGAGAAGCCCCGGTGGTTAGTCCCACAGTCCACTGACCACAAAGCCCCCGCAGTCTCGTCCAGCTCCATGCTTTCGGAGCTCCCATGTAACCCAGGTCGTGTGTGCCGAGGCGGGGAAAGAACAACCAATGGTGGTCGTCGGAGAGCAGAGTCTTTAGACAGTGATCTGCTCATGGAGTTTGGAGATTCTAAACTGGACAGACCCGTCAGTGAAAGACGGAGTTCATTCCGCACTCCTGCAAGAAGAGCTGAAGAGTTAGCTTTCCAAACCTCTGCACTAACATCCTCAGGTAACTGTGAAAACCATCTGGTATCGGCTTCAGTCAATGTTGAATTGAATTGATTCTGTTTGTGTTTGCATTTAGATGACTCACTTTCTCCACTAAACTCAAGTAGAAAACACAGCTCGCAGCAGTCGCACTTGGAGAGCCAGCAGGACGACTCTCTCATGGAGTCCTGGGACTCTCTAGTTAAGTTCAATCGGCACCAGCGGGGCCGCATCTCCAACATGGGCTTTGAAGGCGATATCTTGGATGAGTTCCTCCAGCGCCAGGGCCGTGGCCCACCCTCTGTTCAAGCTGAGCCTTCACCCACTCCCAGGAGCCCCTTGTCCTCCTCCTTTGTTCTGGCTGACGAGGACCCGTCTATGGAACGAGACGAGGAGTTTGAGATTCCAGTGCTGCCCAAGGGTCAGAGGCTGGTCATCAACATCCTGTCCACTTGGGGAGACCGCCACTATGTTGGCCTCAACGGACTGGAAATATTCAACTCGAGCGGACAGCCCCTTAGACCCGCTCACATTTACGCTGATCCTCCAGATATTAATATTTTGCCAGCTTATGGGAAGGATCCACGAGTGGTTACCAACTTAATCGATGGAGTAAACCGTACACAGGACGACATGCATCTCTGGCTGGCTCCTTTCAGTCCAGGACGAAAACACACCCTTTTTCTTGACTTTGGTGCTTCTTTCCGAGTGGCCATGATCCGTGTGTGGAACTACAACAAGTCACGGATTCATTCGTTCCGAGGAGTGAAGGAGGTAGAAATGCTGCTGGATGGAGTTCGTATTTTTCGAGGCGAGATTGCCAAAGCATCAGGGACGCTCTCTGGCGGTAGGTGGTCTAGAACAAATTCATGAAATAGTTGAACAGATACATTTATGTTTTCATTGGTGTATTCTAGGACTGGACCAGTTTGGGGACACTATTCTATTCACCATTGAGGATAACATTTTGGAGGAGATGTCCCGATATGATGAAACATTTTTCACTGAAGTGGACTGTCCAGACAACATGGTGCATGAGGAGGAGCTTCAGAGGCCGCGCACTGCAGACGGCGAGGGAGAGGAAAGGCCGTTTACTCAGGCAGGTTTCAGAGAAGAAGACCTCATGGTATGTACCATCAATACTATTCATTATAGTGAAGGGATACGCATATCCATCTATATAACTGTATTTACTGTTTGATTGCCGTCATCTTAGCTGAAACTCCAACTGAATCCCTCCCTCAGTCCGACAGAAGACTGTGTGGAGCACGTTCCCGGCCTCTACACTGGAAAGTGTGAGTGTCTTATGGGGATACTGTTATCAGCATTTGAACTGTGACTGATGAAGGACTCCCCTCTTCAGGCCTTAGAATGGACATGGTGTTGACCTGGGGAGACTCTCACTACATGGGGCTGACAGGACTGGAGGTGGTGGGCAAAGAGGGAGAGAGTTTACCTTTAGACCTCAGCATGATGGCTGCCTCACCCAAAGATGTCAACGACCTGCCTGAGTATGGACATGATCTGCGGACCCTCGATAAGTATGTCACTGTGAGTAAACTATATCACTTCAAAGTTTCAACGTTTTTTCTTTCTCCTAGACTCATAGATGGCCATAATATAACCACTGACGACCAGCACATGTGGCTGATTCCTTTCTCCTATGGAGAACCTCACACCTTATTCATTCAGTTTAACAAAATCCAGACAATTGCTGGACTTCGTATCTGGAACTACAACAAGTCCCCTGATGATTCCTACAGAGGGGTAAAGGACACATGTTTTAGGCTGTCGTAGATTCACAATAATATGAATGAATTACATAACACAGTCACAAACGTTTGTTTTTCACAGGTGAAGCTGATCCATTTGTTCATGGATGACGTGGCCATCTCTCCATCAGACGGCTTCCTCATCAGAAAAGGACCTGGTCATTGTCATTTCGACTTTGCTCAGGAAATCCTCTTTATTGATTTTCTTCAGACACCGACTGACACCAAGTGTGCCGAAAGCTTCCCTTACAAGTACAGTGCTTCTGTTTTCTTTTGACAGATTAAATTATGGATTTCTAACACAAACTCTTTTTGTATTGTTTTGTTTAGAGGAAATGCCAAGAAACTAGAAGAGGCGAGCATGGACTACGAGTCTCTCATCATGCCCTCTGGATGTATCCACTGGACACACTACGACTATATTTCTATCTCAGGCTTCTTTTCCAGTTTGGGAATTCTTCAGGATTCATTACTTAACTTCCTCCTTAAAGTTATTAAATCACACTTAATTGATCATATACTTGAATACCTTTTTATATAGACGTATTTAGGTTTAAAGTATTGGTATTTTTTAGTTAAATGAGTATAATGTGCGTGGTTGTTTTTGTCACAGAAGGAAGTACCCACCAAAATGTTTAAATACTGTTTCACTGTATTGTCCTTGACCCTTTTCTGCCAGTCATCTTTCAGCTGCAGCTCCTGACCACATGGGGCGACCCGTATTACATCGGCCTCAACGGCCTCGAGTTTTACGACCAGAACCATGAGAAGATCCCGCTGACGGACAACAGTATCCTTTGGCTCTTTTACCTCTTTAACCCGCTTTCAATTCCATTTCATTTCATGTTGTGGCGTGGGACTTTTCCTGAGCCGTGTCTTCCAACAGACATCGCTGCTTTTCCAGACAGTGTGAATGTTCTGGACAACGTCACGGGGGATGTGCGCACTCCAGATAAATTAATCGACGGCGTTAACAATACTCATGACGGGAGGCACATGTGGCTGGCCCCGGTTCTTCCAGGACTGGTGAGAACATGGACATTTACCGGCTTCTTGTAGATCGATAGATAGATACTTTATTGATCCCCTCAGGATAAATTCAGGTGTCTAGTAGCAGCAGAAACACATGCATCCACACAAACAAAACATATAAAGAGATCATTCTAAAAGTAGCTAACAATATTATTAAAATGCAACAGCAGTTTAGGTCACAGCAGCAGAGGTGGAGCAGCCGCTTGGTTCTGACCATTTTCTCTGCTCTGGTCCAGAGTAAAACGCGTAATGCTTTGTTAGCATTTTTCCTCTGATCTTTTGATTGATCATTTATAGTAGCTACGTATTTTTTGAGATCCTTAATTTGTCCCTTCGGCTCCAAGACAGCCTCTGTGTGAGTTAAACAAGCGTACTTTCATTCAAGATTCAAGAATTTATTTGCCATTTACAGTAAAACCACACTGGATAAACTGTGCAAGACTTCCCCAGTGTGCACCAGACAGCACACACCAGAGTACTTCACTACTATTGCAACTTTTAGAATGATGTATTTATGTGTACGGATGGATGGATCAATGAAGTATCTATAACTTCTTTTCATCTTTATTATGCTAAAGTTAGAGCTTGTATTTGATTTTAGTATAGAGTTATTGTTCACTTATCTTGTGATGTGTGCTGCTCATTCCTACTGTTGTGTAAACTGGTGATGCAACACTGACATTTCTCCACTGTGGGAATACGGCATCTCTTAATCTTAATCTTTGACAGGTCAATCGTGTATATGTCATATTTGACCAGCCAGTCACCCTGTCGATGATAAAGTTATGGAACTACTATAAAACCCCACAACGAGGAGTCAAGGAGTTTGGGGTAGGTTCCATTGTTTAATACCTGTAATCAGACAACACGTGGTGAAACTAGGGCAAATACTGCTGCTTGATTGTATATTGTGTATATATATCTACATGTGTACTGTATGTGTAGTAGGCAACATGCACAGAGAGTAATGTAAACTAGGGAATGTAAATATTGTACATACTTATGAATGCAAAATGTCGGCTCGAAGTTTGTCGTTATCGCCCGCAGTTGCTGGTGGACGACCTCTTGGTGTATAATGGGATATTGGACTGCGTAAGCCATGTGACCAGAGGAATTCTACCAACGTGCGACCCGCTGGTCCCATACCACACCATCCTCTTCACTGACAACGCCTTCATCGCACACAAGGAACGAAACACGGTCATTAGGTATAAATATTATGACACACGTCGCTAAGATGTTTACTAGAGAAATCCTGGTTGTTGCTTGTAGAGAAATGTTAAACGCCACATACTGTACTCTTCCTCACTTCAGCCCCCTTGGCAGGAGATTCCGCCAACAGTGAGTAACAGAGCTCAGTGTCAGCACCCCCCTGTGGTCAAACCCTGCAACGACAGCCTTTAAACAAAATCCCACAGTCCCCCCCCCACTCCTGCTCCCGTTCACTTGTGATTGCCTTTTTTTCTTCCCCGTCTCACTTCCCCTTCATACTCAGACCTCTTTGGTTCCATCTCTGACCCCAAGGCCTGGACCAGCTGGAACGGCTTTTTGAACCCCTTTCACCATCATGACTTTTAACTTTTGTTCGTACGTCTTCCTGTGTTTCAGCAATTACGTGGAAGATCAAGATGTGAAGTTGACCAATGAAAATCACATCGTCCATTACAACAAAAAGAAGCAAAATGCAGATCCAGGTGAGTGGCTTCGTGACCCAAATATGTGAAGGAGCCGAGATGAGGAAATATTAGTTGATTTTAAAATATTTTGTTGAATTTTTGAAGCTGAAATTTGATGATTTTTCTTAACCAGTTTCTGCTTTTAATCATGTGTGGCGGGTTATGGGTCGTACAAGGGTTAATCAATGTTGCGGTAACTAACTTTCAAACTACAACCAATTTAACTTACTCGATAAAATCCATTTGAGCTTCTCTGCTAGTTTTCCCATTTAACTTTGGCCTCTGTTACTTCTCTTGCTTTAGATCAACTTTCCCAGACAGAAAACCACCATCACTCAGCCAATCAGCTCTCAGCCCAAAGAGGCAAATAGTGACTCACAGGGATCTTTCTGACAGAATGTCGCGGTCTGATCTGTTCACATGTGATATTTATGAAACAAAAGTTAGATTCCTCAGCTTGAATTCCCTTTTCAAAAGATTGGATCTGACTTTCACATGCAAGTATGGCCACAGTCAGACCTCTGAAGCTAAGCAGGGTAGGACTTGGTTAGAACTGTGATGGGAGACCTTTTGGAACACCAGTTGCTACAGCGGGGCGGCACATTGACTAGAATGTGTGTGTGAATGCTTGGCGGTGGTGGGAGAGGCCAATGACACATATTGGTTGTCTTTTATAATGCTAGGATAGTAGGGGAGTCAACAATTATATAATTAGACCTGAAGTAAAAAAAAAATACATATGTTGATTGTATTCACAGGTTCTATAAATATAGGTGAGGTATACAATAATGATATTATATTGATATAAATAGAGCAGAGTCGGTTACACTTGCTGTCAGTGTGCCCCAGGGCAGCTGTGGCTTTTTTACATTTTTGACTGAAGGAGACCTAAGAAAACATTATGAACTTTTTACATGCTTTATTTAGCCGTGCTACCGCTAAACGCTCGTCTGTCGATTTCAGCTCTCCGGCCCAAAACCTGCATGACCGACGGCGGGAAACACGGAAAGCGGAGGTACTGACCACACGCAGCGGGAGTCGCCTTATTGGAGGTGTGTGTGACTTTAGATAAAGGAGCGGAGCCATTATCAGCAGCTCTGAACCGAGGAGCAGGAGTGAAGCCCGATGTCTCCACACTGATCCACTTTATGGTTGGATAGTTCTCGCAGCAGGCCTCACTTACAGGACTCTAAGCCAGGTTTAAACCAGTTAATGTTACTGTGCCTACTTCCTTTCACTTCTGTGGCTGCAACCTGTGACCTGTGCTGCTCATTAAATGCTGCTTCGTGACTTGTAACCACCCCAAAAAAACACTTTTTCGTCACTTACTGAGGAAGCCTGGGTCCTGGGCTGATTTACACCACACACCAGTGCACAGACTGTTGCAATGCTATGCAGACACTAATTTATTATTATATGTACTCTTATGTAACCTATGTATTTGTATGTTGGCTACTACTGTAACGAAACATGATGAAGAATAAGGGTTTTTCTTGGAGGTGCTTTAAGATTTTTATGGATGGCTTAAGACTCTTCGCGTTTGAAAACACATCTCTGGTTTTACAAAGTAGGTTAGGAGATGGTGAAATCCAAAAATCTCTTCTTTAAATTAGATCAAGAGTTTGAAATTCAAGTGACCTTTTTCGAATATTCCTGAAATATTGAGCCTGTAATGTAGTTTTTGTGAGACTACAAATGATAAGGTCTGCATTAGTTTAGATGTTGGGATCACAGTTAACCTGTTATGCAAATACCCAAGACTTACCTCAGAGGAATCTTTCAAATGGATCAAATGTTTCTCATCAAACGCCATTTCCAGTCGTTGCCAGTAGCTCCTGTAGTGATATTCAATGTTTCTTGGCGAGTGTGGTCAGAACTGTATTTTGCTTCCAAAAGCCTTGTCACCTTTTCCCACATGAAGCAAATGTATTTAAATGTGTTTATGAAATTCAGTTTGTTCATTTGAAGCGTTATCAATATTAGCAGGCTAATTTAGTCCTTTTCTGTTGAGCAGTGGACAATGTGAAGGTGGAGTTTATTTTTATATTTTGTTGAATGTGTATTAATCATGCAAGATTTATTTAAACCAATAAACTTGATTAATGTATGTAACAGCAGAAGTCCCTAATGGCCATATTTACAACACAGCTGGAAACAAAAACCCAATCAAGCTTCATAAATATACGTATTTATTCAGTGCTGTATATTTCAACGCTTTTGTGAGGAATGAACAACGAAGTTGGGAAAGACGGCGTCCTAGATCTTCCCTGGAAAGTTCCCTTCCTCCTTCTGCTCCTCCCATTTCTGCACCTGTCCCATCACAAACACTCAGGGTTATTAATGTTTGTGCAATAAACAGTAAAGTATTCCCTGGGCAATGGAACTGACGCATCATGCACGCCCTAGTTATTGCACATTGACCGACATACATTTTTATTCTTAAACATAAAGAAGTCAGTGCTCTGGCCATTATAACATATGTGAACATGTCATTACCCAGGATCCAGGGCAGAGCGACGTGTAGACCCTCTTGTACCAGTCGCACGGGGCAGTGTCCGCCCCTTTAGCCTCCAAAGCCTTCTCACATCTGTGGAAGTCTGCAGAAGAGATGATGTTGGTTCAATCGTCTTTCATGACTCTTGTAGACAAACTAGACTGATGAAAGTGATCAAACATGTCAAACATGTCTGTGCTCATGTGACCCGGTCTTACCGAGATAGTTGGACCAGCAGTTCCTAGTTTGGTTCTGGTTTGGGAATCTGGCGTCAAAAGGCGCCGTGCGGTAGTTCTCAATTTTGGTTTGTATTTCTTCAGCCATTTGCGTTTCTACAGAACACACATAAACAACACACATTACATCTTCATCTTGTAACGAATGAAGACATACACGGCACCAGTAACGTGGATAACCCTCTTCATTTCCGCACATGTCAATGTCAAAGTGAAAGCAAAAATATATCATCTGCCGACACTGGGCCCACGGATAATCTTGTCTTTTCCTTCATATTTCAGCATTCACAGTTTGTGTTTCGTCTAGCGCATATTACAGAGTTTCTAGATCATTCTATTAATGAACTGAACCCATTTACTTTAATCACCAAATAGTTCCGCAAGTCATGGCTTCAGTAAAGACGAGGAGAAGGAGACTTCATTCATTAATATAATATTGGCCAAACAAACCCAGAGCAGATAATCCAGACGTACCTTACAGGGAGGAGGGATGTATCCCAGAAGTGACCCGTGGGGACAGAGCTCCTGCTCCTGCTCCAGACTATAGACCGTGCGCCTCTGACGTAGACGCTCTGCAGACGCGTGCGCCGCGGTAGTAACGGAATGGCGGACTCCGGTCACATTGACATTAATCACTGATCTATAAACACGTAGAGCTGTCAGGTGAAGGTGGTCGTCATCATCATCATCATCATCAGCAGCAGCCGCAGCATAGTCCTCATCTGCCCCTGTGGAGGCTGCATGCACTGGGGTTCACATTACAACACACCTCACATATTAATGCTTATCAAAGTTTTATGCGGAAGCTCCGTCTCTGTCCTTGTTTAATGATTATCCCACATTTGTTCTGGGTGTGGGACATGATGGACACAATAACAATGATAACAATAATAAGATCATCAGCATCTTGCGCAGTAGGCCTGAGCTGTGGTGCATTTTCCTCCAACTCTTCTAACTTTGGAATACAGGACAATTCTTCCTGAGCCCCATTCATTCTTTGGTTTGCTTCATTTCTCCCGTGTCCATAAATGATTCCGCCTCACGCAAGTTCTTATAACAGACTTTTCCATGGCAGCAGGTCGAGTCTTGCCACCTAGGACGTGTACGTGCCCTGTGGACCATAGACGTACATGCCAGTCTCATATCTCTGCGTTTATTTGAACTAGAGACCGGTAATAGCTCGTGACTGCGCATGTCAGACAGTTTTATCGCGCGCGGGCAGGAAAGGCGGACGCACGTAGGCATGTGAGCAGTACCTCCATTTAGCCGCCAGATGGAGACAACGTTCTGAAAATCTGAAATAAAACCCAAAATGTTTTGGGCTTTCACTACTATATAAATTCACAGGTTTTAAAAAAATCTTGAATACAAATGAAATACACTAAATTATTATCATTATCATTACTAAACATATGCTACTAAATGCTAACTGCTGCAATTAAGCTTGTTGCTATGGTAACTATCACTTGCTCTTAACCAGTCTTGGATCAAGCAGATTTCATAAACATAATTGTATAGAAATAAAGTACATATAGACAGACAAATTCAAAGTTATGAGGACCAAAGACGTACATAAACATAGTAATTACACTTCCAAAACGAAAAGCCGTCAAATTGACTGCTCTGAGCGTTCTGGTGTTCTAGCAACATAGTAAAACAGAGTATAAAATCTCAACAACAAAAAGGCAATTCAAACACATTTATTGGCTACATATCAGACATGTCTCATAATTTTAAATAATTCTACGTTGGTCTGACCTCGTGATCAGTTACAGCCGTCTGGATTAACATATTTATTGCAATTATTTTATTCACTCCATTTCTTTGGCTTGATTATCTGCGACACCCAACAGCAACGCGTGAGTTCAAGCTTATACACATACACCACACTTCGTTTACAGCTTCTACAGCAGAATATACCTCACCACACGCACCTCTTACAAGTCCCTGCAAAAGTAACAGTCAGAAATAGTCTGTTTTCTGAGCGACATTCAAGTACACAGAATATAAATATAGGTTGCTAGTTTGATTGTCAGAAGGAAGTAAAACAAACAAAGTACATTCTTCCCATTTTGCAGTAAGCTCAGGAAATGCCCTTGTACCTTCAGAGATTCTTTGGCATCAGCAGTTTTAAGCAGTGTTTGGTCTCGAGTATTATTAACTTTCCCGTCTTCACTCGTCGCTGAAGCGCAGGCGGTTGAAGGCCTCTTTGATGTTCCCGTTGGTCTCGGCGG